ATTATTACTATTGTTATTACTATTATTGGCAAGAAGTGCCTACATTGATTACATTTTATCTCGCCCGTTATGACACATACGTATCCCAGGTAGGCTTCGACTGCTGCAGTGCTGAGTGAAATCGTCTGTGCTTAGCTTTATGACGCACAAATAATCCCACGAAGCAGATACAGCAGCACTCTGCACGGTTCTAAGAAACACTGAAACAATATGGGCGTAATAATATTCATCCGACATCTAGTACTTTTTGGAACGCTTACAAATAATTTAAGAGAAGAAAATTCTGCGGAAAACGCGATTAAATTTCATGGGTTTCAACGATTGTAATGGGTTTCTCGTTTATATCAGTGACACTCCCTCGTTTCCGTGACAGCAGTGTGTGGGCGTGAGGGAGGTTTCGATACATGAATGGGGGAGTGAGGGAGAGAGGGACTACAACGAAAAATTAGGTGATTTGAGGGGGTATTCTAGATGAGTGTAATATTGCTCAGTAGGTTTTAAATGTGGGGTACATTGGGGAAGGGATGAGCAAACTTTTTTTTGTGAGGCGTGTACCAATGTTTATCAAAATGCTAAATATTAAGAATATCGGTCTAATGTACACGGCAATAATAAAACAATATTATGCCTGAGAAAGGATAGAAAGTGTGTTTAACATAGGCTTATATCTAGACATTTTCGGCATCATAAACTTACCGGTAATACCGTACTGAATACAGAAATAATAACGAAGGTTTATTCCCAGCAAAAACAAAACAGTATAACATTTGTGTAGGTAGGCATTGTGTTAATTTTAAATCAGAATATGACGTTGTTACAAGATTGCAGAAACGTTAATAATGTTACTAGTTGGAAGTTGCGTTGTAAACATGGTTAAAACGTTTTTCACACCAAACATTAACGTTATTACAACGTCGAATTATTAGCTTGGTTATTAGTATTATTTTACAATATGAAAAAAATATATAAACGTCATTTGCCAAGACGATGTTTCACTGTCGAAACACGATGAAATGTTGTTTATACCATACGTATGTTAGGGCAACGGGAATACATTCAAATTATAAATAGGGCTAGGCCTGCTATCTAAAAGCTTACAGTGTGTCAATTATATGCCTATTAATAAATTTATTTTTTTATTGAAAACATTTAATACATTCTTCTCTCAAGATGAAGCTACAGCAGGCTACACTAAACACACGTCATTTCCATTGATGTCTTAATATTCGGGGTTTTCTCCAGACATTGTCGTAATCTCTTTCGTATTGTCTCTTGAGTCATGCGTAATTTCTTTTGACAGTGTTAGCAATGATGGACATTCCCTGCCTTCTGAATATTAGTTTAATCATGTAATCGGTGAATTTATGTTTTGCCAATACGTCTGCTTAGGGACGTCTATTGAAGATAAAGGAAATTAAATTAATATCTTCGTTGTCTCGATATAGTACAGCCGGCATGAGCTGGTAGGCCTACAGTCGCGTATTTTGCCAAGGACAGCATACACATGACAATGAGAGGGATTCTTCTAGCAGTCTGCTGTACTATAGGCCTAACCTGTAATTTAATGTTGGGACTTGAGTTATGCTTTTTAGTCAGGCCAAATTCTGCCATCAAAACTTTGAGCCACCCGCAAGAAGCGGACATTAGTGACTACCTACACATCCGTTCAACTGTAGCTATAGGCCTACAAGAAGCGTCAGATAGCAATCCTATATTTTCTAAAGTGATTCAAAGCAAACACTCTAACATATTTCAGGCGGAAATATTACACAGCAGTTCAGTATCTCGTTCATCTGAAATAAAAGATTTCTTGAACAAAATTGTTTATCGTTCTAAAGACAGAGTTGTTGTTACTGAAGAACAACACGCGAGCAGTAGGCGGATGTTGCATTCGATGGGATCCAAAACACTGACTCTGCCACTACAACTCAACAAAAATATAATTCAGTTACTTCATCAAAACAAATTTGGTTTAGATATTTTTGAATCAACTAAACCAAGAGGATTCAGGCGGACAAGTGATGCTACATCACGAACTATTGGATATATATCTTTAAATGCATATTTAGCACACAATATACAAAGAAGTAAGAGAGGAATATTTGCCAAAGATATTTTAAATAAGGAAGGGGTAAAATCTGAGCTCAGGTCTGTTAGAAGCCTCGGACAGTTGGAGGACTTTAGACATATACTAAAAGAATCAAGTACGCAGCCTAAATATGCTAGGATACAAGCCACCATTACCAAAAGGAACCATATACTGAACACGGTTGATCTTCACTATATTGATAGGCCTACATATAAACAATATTCTATAGTTTCAACGCAAGAAAATATACATAAAAATTATCTAAAAAATGGAGCTACCATTGTGCGTGGAAAGGAAGACAATAACAATTTGTCTGACCACATCGTCGGCGGACTCCTTTCATTAAAGAACTTTCAAACTGATATGGAAGTGCTAGATATTAGGGAAGAGTTATCGGAACATGTTACATTCCAGAAAACGAAACAAGGAAGGTTGTCTTCTCAAGAACTTCTCCCATCTAATGCACTTTTATCAAAAGAGTTAACTGTTGTGAATGTTACAGATGGAGTTAGTCAATCCGAATTAGAAATAGTTAATCAGGAAAAAATTGACTTAGAACCAACAAAAGATATAACATTCCCTGCAAGATTGTTAGATATTTTAATTAGAAACGTTGATGAACTTTATTCCATAACAGATTCAAGCTTCACAATGTATGTGAGTAGACAATCTATTATGATCTATTATCTATTATGTTCTATTCTATTCTATATTATGCTTTTAAAAATTCAATAAAAATTCAAAACCAGCATATGGGCCTCTGGTGACCGGTTTTGGTTGTTGGTCCTATTCATAGGATAGAGACCCTACTTTTCAGGCGTATTAAATGCCCTTGACAGGGCAGAAGAAGAAAATCATGGAAGCAGTTTTATTCCTTTGTTCGTTCGATGACACGGACAAACTTCCAAAGTTACAAATCGTAAAATGACAATTACAGCTAAAAACCACTAAAATATGACGCTTAAAAAAAATTAACAATGTCAAAAATCAAATCTAATGTATAAATTGTCATCATTGTAGCACGAAAAACATTTCGGAAGTAAAGATGTTGATGAGATCCTTGGACGTGGTATCCCGGGTATCGAGTGGCGCCAATCAGGGCTCCAAAGATGGCTAAAACCAGTAAGTTTTGGTTTAGGATATTATAACATAGTACTGTACCTCCGCCATGGAGGTTATGTATTTATCGCTGTTTGTCTGCCTGCATGTATATTCGTTTGTTATAAAGATTATGCAAAAACTAATGAATGGATCCTCATAAAATATAGTAGAGTGATACATATTAATCTAATGAAGAGGTGATTAAGGTTTGGGGTAAAAAGATTAAAAGGACAAGATCAAGATCAAAGAAATTCGAAAAAAAACCTTTTAAAACTACCCCTCGAGCATTAAAAGAAAATAATGGAATCGCCCATAAACGCCCTGAGTGTATTATTGTGTATTCTTGCACAGGGTGGAGATATGTGCACTATGGGATATTTTTTTCTATTTATTGCATTTACAAGAAAAAGTACAGTCGTCATTTACAGGATGGAACGATGCTCTTATAACATATCCTCATTGGAGTGTTGTCAGGCAATGGTGAGACCCCAAGAGACGTTTAGTAGAGTTTGGTTTTTAGACAAACAGACAACCTTGGTTTTACCAAATCAGAAATTAAGCGGTTTTTTTAATATGAGCAATTACAATTTTCAACACAGCTAATAAAAAATAAACTTAAAAACATACAATATGCAGACATTGCATTATCTAACTTTACAGAACGAAGGAAAACTTTAATACTGTATACACATGCACTTTGCATTCATACCTCATTAACTTGTTTTGTCATTTCGGTAAGGTTCGCGTGAAACGAGTCACCACAGATCTGATAGTTTACTGGTGGGGTGGGAGGGGGATTGGATTAGTCTTCATCAAATTTTGTAAAATATACTGACACAACATGATGACATAATACTAGATTCCATTTACGTTTTACAGCATAATAACATTACCTATGAGTAAATCAAATTACACAATTCAAATATTGAAGATAAGATCTTTATGTAGGAATCATACGCAAATTCTGCAGACAGGTTTTTACCCAGCCACGTGATCTTCCTATTAAATTAGATTTCCGTATTGATTAAAACGGCGAGACGATAATAGAATTGATATGAAAATGCAGGTTCGAAGATATATTACCTTGGGGAAGCTCTATAATCACCATACAGTTATTTTGCATTGTCTGCAAGCTAAAAACAGTTGCCGAATTTTGCTTTTCATAACATTGTAATAAATGATATTCATCCGATATACCATGAGACTCTATTTATAGTCAATGCCTAATTTCATGATTTTCTAGAAAATTTCTTTTGTTTTCAGAGCTTAGAGAGGCTTCAAAACCATACAGTATATTTAAAAGATTTCGGACGTTTGGTGCAAGATATCATTCGTTATGAAAAACGTCAACGGGATAATGAAAAGCTACTTTCTGGACTGAAACTTCTCAATGTTTTCCTAACGCGTGTGAGATTAAAAATCGCACAATTAGTAAGTTCAATTAAGTCTAATTTCTCATTTAGTAAGCTTTAACGAAGTTTAATTACTGAATTAGTAAAGTAAATAGTAATTTTGTAAAACAACCAATGTGTTTCATATAAATTATCTTTTAAATCCAATTCAAAACTGTAACGATAAAACTGCCTAAATGATATTCCCTGAATTCTGCGGTACATGAAATCAATATATATATATTATATATATATATATATATATATATAAATATATATATATATATATATTCATTAATTCATCCTCCATCCTCCAGCCTCTTGCCCTTATACAGATGTAAAAACAATAATTATTAGTGCTGTAAATAGGTCTGTCTTTCTTTGAACACAAAGTATACATATTTTGATAATTGGTTTGTTAACTTAATATTAGACATGAGTAAGCATAATTTATTGATAGACGGATAAGTGTAATATAATTGTTGTTACATAATTTGCATATGCGATCCTTGTTGAGGAATCTTGTTCCATCGCCCGGTTTGTATTTCTAGTACTAAAATGCCAAGACGTAATTTAGTTAAAACTATTTGATATTTAAAATTATGAATACTCAAGAGATGATGGTCTAAAGTGATGTTATGCTTAAATAAATGATAATATTTCAAATTAGATTGTGATCTCATTATTTCATATTTTTGTTTTTCAATGTCAGTAACTCTTAACTTAAAATCATTAAGAAAATTATATTTATCTTAAACATGTTGATCATACCAAACACAACCAAATCCAGAGTAAGTTTATAACTTTCATTGCCCAGCACGCTTCATTTAACAGTCACCAAACTGCATCTTATATTAATTTTGATTTAACAGATAACTAATAGGGGCTATCATTAGTAAATTTATTGAAAAGTGATGAAGATAAAGGAGACCCTTGCTGGACTCCATTTGAGCATTTAAAAGAAAAACTTAGTTTGCTAACAATTTTAACGAGAGGCGGATAGGTTTTGGTATAAAGAAAAAAAATACATTCTACCACTTCTATTTGTTTTAATTTATATTAGAGAAAGTTGTGATTAACATAATCGAATACACGTTTTAGATAAATAAAACAAACAACAATTCTTCCTCGTTTATTAGTTAAATATCTTGAAATGATAGTGTTCAGAATATAAATATTATCTAATGTTCTGTAACCCTTCCTAAAACCCGCTTGTTCCTCGTGAATTATTCTTCAACAAAATTAGTCTTGAATTTAGAACATGCAAAAAAATCTTACCTAGAATTGGTATTAAAGAAATCGCTGTAGTTACTGTGTATTATTCGTTATGATTGGAGGGCGCTATGTAAATTTACGCTTCTATTTTTGACGGATACTTATAGAGGCCCAATAGACCGAATCGGCGGGTCGGGTCAAGTGACTTATAGTGGGTATTAGCATACTCCTGTCTCTTATACACATCTTATATATATATATATATATATATATATATATATATAT